GAGAGACAGAGAGATAGAAAGTGAGGACTCACCCCGCAGAGGGGATGGCCATGCCACAATCCCTTCTCCTCCATTCTCCTCTCGGGATCTTGGGCACGCAAGCACACGCGCCCGGCGTGAGTTTAAGCCACCAGGTCTGGGACTCAAACAGCCGTTGGCTACATGGGGGAGTTCAGCGACATAGCTATTATGCTAACTGCTGGTCCCTATTTTTTTCTGTAAATCACTCTTCTCCCTCCTCCAGGTAATAAAACTTGTGTGGCCTGTATTTCCCTTTTCACTGTGACTGCTAAAGAGCTCACAGAAAAACCTGGTCTTTTGGTTGTCATTTCCCTGGATCCAGATGCCATGATGTCATTATCGCTTCTACTTTCTCGCCTTTCTTGGAGGAGAGAGAGTGAGGGGTCATGTTCCTGAAGGACTTCTGCTCTAAGATAATCACACCTTCTGGATAGGTCAGCTGGCATCTGGGAGAGCCAGGGCAGTACCAGGCTTGGGAACAAGGTGACATTGGCTTAGACCAGCTCTGTGCTTAGTGGCTCTGTGGCTTAGAGCAAATTCCTTTACTTCTTGGTCCTGTTTTTCACTGAGACAATCGGGATGGAGCATGTAAAACATTTAACTCAGGGCCTGAGGCATGTAAGTACTCAGTTAAAATTACCTATCATTATTATTTTAAAATCATAATATTTTGACATTAAGGGAAAGATTAAATTAGATCCAAGTGGAGTGGGTACTGCTGGCTGCGGACAGCCTGGCCAGGCAGACAGGTGAGAGCCTTTCTATTCCCAAGGCTGGTCCTCAGGGAGACAGATCTGCTGACAGCAAGACTGGCCAGGTGGTGGTGGTGGGGTTGTGGGAGGAGGTGGCACTGCCCAGACCAAGGTCCTTTCTAGGGCCCATGCCTGCGCTGCCCCAGGCCCTGCCCTTTGCTGGCTCAGGGGTCAGAGTTGTAGTGAGGCCGAGGCTGGGGTAAGGCAGGTCTTTAATTTGGTGACACCCCTGCAATGACTCCTGAGAGGTGGAGAGCTGCGCCCCTGGCCAAATAATCTGTCGTGGTCAAGAGCGGGATCTGCAGCAAGACAGAGGGTTAGAGTCCTACTTGAGCCTCCTCTGTGCCCTGGCCTTGCCAAGTGCAGACCTGCTCCGTGTGGCTATAAAAGGCAGGAACGCAAGATGACCTCCCAGGTATTGGAGGACTGGATGGGCTGATCCTACCCAGAGTGAGCTCCAAGCACAAGGGTTCTTCTGCCCTCACTGCCCTCAGGGCCTAGCAGAGCTGCTGAGACATAGCAGGTACTCAGTAGACATGGACCCAATGGATGAAGACAGCGACGAGCTGAGGACAAGGGCCATAGGAAAAGAACCACAGCAAGTGAAGGCTTGTGAGGGGGCAATTTGTTTATTTTAGAGGTGTCAGGTCTTGAGTTGATGACGTTAACTGAGAGAGAATCCTAAGGGATAAAGGGTGGCCACCTCTGGGAGGAAGAGGGAGGTCTAGATTTGACCCCACCTGTAGGGCTGGGATGGGAGGGAGGGAGGGAGAAAAAAGGGCCAGCAGGAGCCATTGGCAGAGAGAGCCCTGTCCCAGGCTGGACTTGGCAAGGGGTTTGTGGAAGGATATCCCAGGGCTCAGGGAGCTGGAAAGGTATTGGGTACTGGAAAGGGGAGGGAAGGTCCTCATTGAGAAGAGTTGGAAAGGCTGAGTACTGGGATGGGGCCATTACCCTTTGCAGGATTCACAGAACACAACTTTGGGGGTTGGGGACAGCTCAGCATTGAGATGGGGCTCTGGTCACTCACTGGAGAGTAGACATGTTGGATTACCTTCAGATGTGAGGCCAGGGCCTCAGATCTTGCACTGGCAGCAAATGGGGCCACAGCAGCTGGACTGGGAACAGCAGGGCTTGCAGCAGCTGGACTGGCAGCAGGATGACCCACAGCCTGAGGAGCAGCAGCAAGGTTTGCAGCAGCTGGACTGGCAGCAGCAGGGCTTGCAGCAGCTGGACTGGGAGCAGGAGGACCCACAGCCTGAGGAGCAGCAGCAAGGTTTACAGCAGCTGGACTGGGAACAGCAGGGCTTACAGCAGCTGGACTGGCAGCAGGATGA